CCTCACTTTTCATTTTTTAAAATGTATTTAATTTATTTAACCATTTTGTTACCATCAATGTACATGTACATTTGATATATTCATTTCATATGTGTGCTTTCATTAATGTATAAATTTCTTTTATTAATTATCAATTAATTAACATTCACAATCATTTAATTAATATTCATTTTTATTTATGTATTTTAGTGTTATTAATTTTAATTATAAGTTAATTAAAATTTCACATTCACGAATGCATTTCATTATTCACGTCCATGTATGCTAATTAACATTCAATTTTACTTAATTAAAAATTAAATAAATGATTTAACATTCATGCCACGTATATATTCACTTATATTAATTTTAATTTAATTGACATGTAGACATATTCAAATATTACTTTTACAGCACCTATAAAACTTTTCATAATAACTTGCAATGCACGTTCAACGTAGACTAATTCATTGCACGTTCAACGTGGACTAGTTCAATATAAAAAATTGGAAAAGGGGACTCATAACCATACCGTCCATATTTACTTGTGCTTATGTAATTCATTGGCGTTGGGACTGCAAAGAGGCTCGATGGCAATTTCATTCTCAATTTTACAAGTTTTACATAAAAAGTACAATTTTCATTTCTTTCTTTTTATTGGACACTTCTGAACTTCAACTTGTTTATTATCGAAGTAGTTTGAGCTTAAGGTCTTCAATTAATATTTCACTAGAATGTTCATCATCCTCATACTTGCATTTTGAGATTTCAACTTGCACGTGTTTTTCAATCTCCATTGCAATATCATCGTGGATAACATTGTGATCATTTTGAACAATATCTTTTTCAACCTCATCAATTGTTTTATAAATCTTTTGCCATTTGTTTATAATAGTATTCGAAAATTGCTTCTTAAATGGCATGAAAATAAAAGATATAATACCAACAAAACACATGCATATTATCTCTACTATGTAAGTGGCATCACAATACCATGCTTATCCCCAAAGTGTATTACAATCGTCCATTTTTACCACATTACACATCTTTGTAGACTTTTAAATAGAAGGTGGAATTTTGAATACCTCAACATTCTGGATTTCTTGCTCCTCATTAACTAATGGAACTTGATTCTAGGATGGTAATTTTTCCTTCTTCAAATATAATGCTTTCACCAACTCTTTAAATACCATGTTCTCACTACTCACATGGTTTATGATGATGTAGTATTGTTGATGGTGGATGCATCATGTTCTAAAAAGCACATTACACTTTAATTTGAGTTATTTTATATTATCGCGGAGATCAATACAAAATCCTTGACAACTTGTTCGTGCAATCCTTGACAACTTGTTCGTGCTCACTACTCGATCTTAAATCGCTAATATCTGAATCGCTATGGCTAGCTTGGTCATCTGTCGCAACTAGTCGTTGTCCTGAAATTGCATCTGACTTCAATGATGAACGCAACTGAGGTTTGTAGATATTTTGAATACTTTTTTCAATTCTGTTGAGCTGTTGCTCGATGTTTTTAAACCCCCGCTCATTTTTGATGGCTCTAACTCCGCTACTACTTTCCTTACCATCGGGCCATTAAATCCTTACTCTCATACTGAATTGATGTGAGAATGAAAAAAAAAAAATAGAAACAAAAACTAAAAAGTTTATAGAGAATAATTTCATGATAACAAATTGATGATTGAAAAAGTGTAAAATATTTTTTGTTTATATAGGCAAAATAATATCCTAATCTTAATATCTCAAAAAATATAAGTAATTAAAATCTGAAAGAAAAGTGTTGACCCCAAAAAAAATAACCGAACACCAGCGGATGAAACAAAAAATAATTCTCCTAACAACAATTACCAATCAAATACCTAATATTATCCGCTAGAGATCAAGTTCATAAATATGGAACAAGCAAGATGATATATGGAGATTTTTCCTCTTGAATGTGTGTTGAAAAAGAAGCTTACAAGGCTATATTGTATTTCTCTTTTTAGATTTCCTCCAAATCCTCGCTCATTTACAAAGACTTCCTATTTATAGTGTTTTGGTCGACATTGTGTCCGTTGGATCAGAACCATATGACCTCATCTCCTTGACTAAGATTTCATATCACTGTCTATCATAAAATAAATATATTGACAACGAGTAGCCTCGTAATGCATTAGTCTGACACATCTAACATTCTTTATTACAAATGTTACATCGATTATTCTTAAAGATTATCTATTAATCTTTTAAGAGATAATTTCAGCTTCGGGTGCATCAGATAAACTAAGGCTTCAGTTGGAGGAAGCTTTGTATTGGTCTTTTATGTGAAGAGTTTTGTCGTCTTCTCTAACCTCCTTAGGTAGCACTTCGGCTCAACGGGAAACGCTTCAGATTTATGTGCTTCGGCACAATAGCTTCAGCCATTCAATTCATCTCTTAAAATTTGACCAATTAACTCTTTGCTAACTTTTCTTTCCATATGGATTGCTACGTGGCGTTTTGACTTGAGCTTCGATAACATGGCGTAACAATAATCCCCCAACTTTAGGTGTGATTATTTATGTAATTCATTGACTTGTATGTACATAAAAAAATTTTGTTAGGGGGTGGCTTTTACCGCACCACAATAGGGCCCACTCACGCCAACCCAAGCAAATTTTGGCACTTTTTGTCTGGAGTACCCGAAGGAAGCGAGGACAATGTGAGTGCAGGAGATGCTTCACGACATGAGACACAATCGTTCGAGCACAGATGGGTGAAACAAAAACTGATTACGCCAACAATAATCACCGATCAAATACCTATAATTATTCGGAGAGATCAAGCTCATAAATATGGAACAAGCAAGATAATATATGGAGAATTTTTCCTCTTGAACATGTGTAGAAAAGAAGCTTACAAGGCTATTTTGTATTTCTCTTTTTAGATTTCCCCCAAATCCTCGCTCATTTACAAATACTTCCTATTTGTAGTGTTTGGCCAACGTGGTGTTCGTTGGATCAAAACCACTTGATCTCATCTCCTTGACTAAGATTTCACATCACTGTCTATCATACAATAAATACATTTACAATAGGTCACTCACCTTATATATTAGGTTGACACACATGACATTTTTTATTACAACCGTTACATCAATCATTCCTAAAGATTGTCTATTAATCTTTTAAGAATTTCAGCTTTGGGAGCTTCAGATAAACTAAGGCTTTGGTTGGAGGAAGCTCTGTATCGATCTTCTCTGTGAAGAGCTTCGTCGTCTTCTTTGACTTCTTTAGGTAGCACTTCGGCTTAACATGGCCATTTAGGTAGTGTTTCGGCACAATAGTTTAAACCATTCAATTTATCTCTTAAAAATTGACCAATTGACTTTTTGTTGACTTTTCTTTCTATGTGGATTGCTACGTGGCGTTTTAACTTAAGCCTCTATAGCAATGCGTAACAATAGTCCCCCAAATTTAGGTATAATTCTTTATGTAATGCGTGGACTTGTTGGTATATATATAAAAAAAATTGTTAAGGGGTGGTTTTTACCACTCCACAATCGGGCTCACTCATGCCAACCCAAGCAAATTGCGGCACATTTTGTCCAAAGTACCAGAAGGAAATAAGGAAAACGTGAATGAGGGAGATGTTTCACGACGTGAGACACAATCGTTCGTGTTGAAAAAGAATCTTACAAGGTTATTTTGTATTTCTCCTTTTAGATTTTCCCCACATTCTCGCTCATTTACAAAGACTTCCTATTTATACTAGTGTTTTGGCTGATGTGGTGTTTGTTGGATTAGAAATAGGTGGCCTCATCTCCTTTACTGAGATTTCACATCACTGTCTATCATACAATAAATACATTAACAACGGGTCAGCCACCTTATACATTATGCGACACACTTGACATTCTTTATTACAAACGTTATATTAATCATTCTTAGAGATTGTCTATTAATCTTTTAAGAGCCAGCTTTAGGTTTGAGAGTTTTGGATGAACTAAGGCTTCAGTTGCAGGAAGCTTTGTATCAGTCTTTTGTGTGAAGAGTCTTGTTGTCTTCTCTGAACTCTTTAGGTAGCACTTCGGCTTAACAAGAAGCGTTTCAGATTTATGTGCTTCGACCATTTAGACAGTGATTTAGCACAATAGCTTTAGCCATTCAATTTATCTCTTAAAATTTGAACAATTGACTCTTTGTTGAGTTTTCTTTCCATGTAGATTGTTACATGACGTTTTGACTTGAGATTCGGTGGCGAGGCGTAACAAAAAGTAATAAAAAAGTAGTATAAATAAGAAATAAAATTCTACAGCAAGAATAAATAATCCGTGTCGGTGTCATACATATAAAAAATTGTCATACATCATTTTCACAATTTCTGAAAAATAAAGAGCGCATAGCTCTCTACTCTTGAAATAATATCAAAAGGGGTCAAATTTATTGCAAAAGATAAGACGATCGACCCTTGTATATTTCCGTAATTTTCATCCGGTACGGAGGGCACTTTGAGTAATTATCCAAGAGGAAATTTCACTGGAGGGCACCCAATTTATAGGTAAGTTCATTTTAATTACTCAACTTTAATTTGCTTCGACTTAACCATTGATTTATATCTTTATTTCAATTAGATCACTCACTTATATTTTTATTTCAATTTTCCTACTACATCTATAACTATTATTAAAACTAACGGAATTCATGACTTGGTTAGTAGAATGGTCTAACGTGCTACGAAAGTTAAATTTGTGACCTGATTAATAGAATTAACCAAATAAAAATATGAAATATAGCAACGTCAGTTTCTAGCACAAAAAGAAAATTGTGTTGAAAAATTGGATTACAAATTCCATGAGAATGGGTTCAACGAAATTAAATTTGTGATCTGATTCAATAAAAAACGTGAAATTTAGCAACATCGGTTTTTAGCACCAAAAAAATTTAGCAATGTCGGTTGCTAGGGCCAAAAAAAAAAAAAAAAAAAATTTGAGTTGCAAAAACAAATTCCACAAGATAAGTTGCAAATTATATGACCTTTTGGTAATGGTTGAGGTAGATCGATTTGTCTAATTGTGAAAAAGATACAAGCTAAATTGAAGTTGGATAACCAACGTGAAATAAATGTGCAAGTGAGTGGCTCTCATCCCAATTATCCAAGAATTTTTATAAACCCTGTGACGAACGCCCAGAAATTCAATCTTCCTTTCTTCACAAAAATATCTATCCTCCATTGATCTCTGGTTAATCACTTATTTAATCATGGTTTTGCCATAATTGACCTCGCAATTATACTTCACCGATCTGGTAATCGCTGATCGATCTTCAGTCATGTAAGCTTTATTCAGGTGTTCTTTCTTAATTTTTTTTCTTTGCTAAATCGTAAATATCTATTGATTTTGAAGTAAAATCGAAATTAACTTGATGATTTGATTTTATTTCCTGAATCAGATGGTCAAGAATCTGAAGCTGTAAGCAGAGCAATCTATTGTGAGTTTTTTCGTCGTATATATAATTTTTTTATTATTATTTTTATGTTGGCGCTTCTTATCAAATTGTTTTTTAGGAAAAAAGTGAAAATCCTGGATTGTTGAATGTTTAGATATTCTTCTTAATTTTAATTGCGGTGAAAATGTTTTTGATTTTTGAATATAATTATAAATCACTGTAGAAATGATTTGATTGCAGCACTAAGAATTGTAGATCTATAACCTGAGTATTTTCTGTTACTATGTTCTTTTGATTTATGATGATTGCAGATTATTAATTCCAATTAGAAAGTATTTTATCCAGGTAAAAAGAGAGGAAGAAACTGATGATTGTTTCTTCTTTCTCACAGTTTATCCAATCGATCAGCCAACTAAATTTTGCACCTTTTTGAGGATCAAGGGCCTAAATTATTGTCATTTTCAATGGCTGATCGTCAAAATAACCATGCCAAAACTAGCAATACGAAGGCATCAGGAAGTTCAGCAAATGCATACACGATAAACCTTGAAAACTTCAGTAAGAGGTTAAAATTCCTGTACTCGCATTGGACTGAATACAAGGATGATTTATGGGGTTCATCTGAGGTTATTGCAATAGCAACTCCTCCTCCGTCAGAGGATTTGAGGTACTTGAAGTCATCAGCATTAAATGTATGGTTGGTTGGTTATGAGTTCCCGGACACAATTATGGTGTTCATGAAGAAGCAGATCCATTTCCTGTGTAGCCAGAAGAAGATATCATTACTTGATATTGTGAAAAAATCTGCGCAGGATGCTGTCGGGGTGGAAGTTGTAATGCATGCTAAGGCTAAAAATAATGATGGAACAGCATCGATGGATGACATATTTCATGCTGTGCGTGCTCAGTCGAGGTTGGACGGTCTTGTTATGCCTCTGGTTGGGTACATTGCAAGAGAGGCACCTGAAGGTAACCTTTTGGAGAAGTGGGATGAGAAGTTAAAGACTGCGAACTTTCAGCTCAATGATGTAACAAATGGTTTTTCAGATCTGTTTGCTGTAAAAGATGCTGCTGAGATTACTAATGTGAAAAAGGCTGCTTATTTGACTTCTTCAGTGATGAAACTGTTTGTGGTCCCAAAATTGGAGAAGGTCATTGATGAAGAGAAGAAGGTATCTCATTCTTCCTTAATGGATGATACTGAAAAGGTAATACTCGAACCTGCAAGGATAAAGGTCAAGCTGAAAGCAGATAATGTCGATATCTGCTATCCACCTATTTTTCAAAGTGGAGGAGAGTTTGATCTGAAACCAAGTGCATCAAGCAACAACGACAATCTATTCTATGATTCAACTAGTGTGATCATATGTGCAATAGGGTCCCGTTACAGCAGCTACTGCTCAAATATAGCTCGGACTTTTCTAATTGATGCCAGCCCTGTGCAGAGCAAGGCTTATGAAGTCCTCCTCAAGGCCCATGATGCAGCAATCGCTGCTTTGAAGCCTGGAAATAAGGCTGGTGATGCCTATCTCGCAGCTTTTTCTGTGGTTGAAAAGGAGGCACCTGAATTGGTTCCACACTTAACAAAATCTGCAGGAACTGGAATAGGCCTTGAGTTTCGTGAATCAGGGCTCAGTCTTAATGGCAAGAATGACAGGACGTTGAAGCAAGGCATGGTCTTTAATGTGTCTCTTGGGTTTCAGAATTTACAATCAGAGACAAAGAACCCTAAAACCCAAAATTTTTCTGTCTTGCTTGCTGACACTGTTATCATTAGTGAAACTTCTGCTGAAGTTGTTACTTCTTCAAGTTCAAAAGCTCTAAAGGATGTAGCTTACTCGTTTAATGAAGATGACGATGAAGAAGAACAGCAACCTAAAGTCAAAGATAAGCCTAGTGGTTCTGTTCCAATCTTATCTAAGGCAACCCTCCGATCAGTTAATCATGAGGTATCGAAGGAAGAGTTAAGGAGGCAGCATCAAGCAGCTCTGGCTCGCCAAAAGAACGAAGAAACTGCTAGAAGACTTGCAGGTGGTGGCTCCGAGGGGACAAGTCGTGGTGTGGTGAAACCCTCTGGTGAATTGATTGCATATAAGAATGTCAATGATATACCTCCTCCAAGAGATTTTATGATTCAGGTTGACCAGAAACATGAGGCCATTCTTTTGCCTATATACGGGATCATGGTTCCTTTCCACATTGCTACTGTGAAGAGCGTGTCTAGTCAGCAGGATACTAGTCGTACATGCTATATCCGAATAATCTTTAATGTTCCTGGTGCTCCATTCACTCCACAGGACTCCAGCTTGCTGAAATTTCAAGAGGCTATTTATGTTAAAGAAGTTTCATTTCACTCGAAGGACCCCAGGCACATAAGTGAAGTTGTACAACTTATTAAAACCCTTCGAAGGCAGGTTGCTTCACGAGAATCAGAGAAAGCTGAGAGGGCAACTTTGGTCACCCAGGAAAAACTTCAACTTAGTGGCGCCAAATTTAAACCGATTAGGTTGTCTGACTCATGGATCCGCCCGGTGTTTGGTGGCCGTGGAAGAAAGCTTCCTGGTACCCTGGAAGCACATGCGAACGGATTTCGTTATGGAACTTCAAGGCCAGATGAACGTGTGGACATCATGTTCGGTAACATCAAGCATGCATTCTTCCAGCCCGCGGAGAAGGAAATGATTACTCTTCTGCACTTCCATCTGCACAACCATATAATGGTGGGAAACAAGAAAACCAAGGATGTTCAGTTTTATGTTGAAGTAATGGATGTGGTGCAGACAATTGGAGGTGGAAAGAGATCTGCCTATGACCCTGATGAGATTGAGGAAGAACAACGGGAAAGGGATCGGAAAAATAAAATTAACATGGATTTTCAAAACTTTGTGAACAGAGTCAATGATCTCTGGGGGCAACCTCAATTTAAAGCATTTGATTTGGAGTTTGATCAGCCTCTGAGAGAGCTTGGCTTCCATGGGGTGCCACACAAGTCGTCAGCGTTCATAGTCCCTACATCGAGCTGCCTTGTGGAGCTCATAGAGACACCCTTTGTAGTAATTACCCTCAATGAGATTGAGATAGTCAATTTGGAGAGAGTTGGTCTTGGACAGAAGAATTTTGACATGACAATTGTATTCAAGGACTTCAAGAGAGACGTAATGAGGATTGATTCAATTCCTACATCGTCACTAGATGGCATCAAGGAGTGGCTGGATACAACTGACCTGAAGTACTACGAGAGCAGGTTAAATCTCAACTGGAGGCAGATTTTAAAGACAATCACTGATGATCCCGAACAGTTCATAGAGCATGGTGGATGGGAATTTTTGAACTTGGAGGCTAGTGATTCAGATTCTGGAAATTCACAGGAGTCAGATCAAGGATACGTGCCTTCAGATGTACAATCTGAGTCTGCATCAGAGGAAGAAGACGATGATAGTGAGTCACTGGTGGAGTCGGAGGACGATGAAGAAGATGATTCTGAGGAAGGCTCGGAGGAAGATGAAGGAAAAACCTGGGAGGAGTTGGAAAGGGAAGCTAGCAATGCAGACAGAGAGAAAGGGAATGAATCGGACAGCGAGGAAGACAGAAAGAGAAGGAAAATGAAAGCTTTTGGGAAAGCTCGGGCTCCTCCTGATAGACGACCCACTGGCAGACCAAATGGCACCCTCCCTAAGAAGGCCAGGTTTAGGTAAAGCTATGGAAAGGGAATTAGTTGCTGAAGTATGGATTACGTGTCACTCTGTTTTTGTTGGTATGCAGTACTAGTTTGCTCTTTGAGCTCTGTAAAATATTGGTTTCCTTGTTTTTCGTATCTGTATGAACTAATTAATTTCGCACTAGAGATTGCAAATGTCTTCTTTTGGTGGGGAATTTTTTTTTATTTTATCTATAATTTGGTCCATTTTTCATCAGGAACTCATTTTATATCACCGCACCGTTTTCCAGCCAACTGTTTTTTCCAAATTCCGATTTGCAGTTGACATTGCTTCTCGAAATCCAAAACCAGCCACATCTTTCTCTAGTGTCCTGATGTCACTTTGAATTGTGTTCTAAAGGTTTTATCATCTTGTTTACATGGTTTTTTTGGGCGTAAGCAAAAGCAAAAATCAGGACAATATCTTATCCTATTGTGTGCTCTAAACCAACTATTTTATTAGTTGCAGATTCAAAGGCAATAGCAACACAACTAAAGAACATCAACATCATTTTCAACATCAGAACGATGTTTAAGAAAGAAAGTGTATCCTTAAAAAAAATTAACTCGGTTAGTTAATATACTTATGGCTCAAACAAAGCTTGAAAAACAACTATTGGAGGGTTGGACCTTTTTCTTTTTGAAATTCACCCTCCCATCCCAAACGAGACTCAAACCTATCTCAGTTGAGTTGGTAATGTTTCGCTCTTACTTCTTTACTAGATCTTGATCTTCGATTTGATTGTTTGAGGATTAGAATGAAACATAAACTCTTTTGTGAACTAATAGACTATCAACTTTACGATTACATAAAACTCCTTATCATATGTAAACCATGCCTATTTAGTCTCATCAAAGTTCTCATTTAACCTTCACGATTATTTCAGAAATCTTAAAAGATCATGCGAGCCCAATGGAAGTCTCGATCAAATTTTGCTTAATATTGAAACTATTTGTGGGCTACAAGTGTTCCCCATTTTCCATGCTCTAGACAATTTGTATAGTGAATAATATAATCTCTTCATTGAATCATCTATATAAAAAGTACGCCGCACTTTCGACAATTAGCATAGTGAATAAATGGGTTTTGCTAGTGGTACATAGGAGTGTACCTAAGGGGTTACACCCACCTCACAAAGGGGTGAGACCCACTTAAATAAAAAAATATTTTATGCAAGTGGGTCCCACCCCATGTGGGGGGAGGGGGGAGGCCCTAACCCCTTAGGTACATCATTTGATGTACCACTAGCATATTCCAATAAATATTTAAAAACTTGTGTCATCATTATGAAGTTGAAGTATTGGTAATAATAGATTTGGGCTTCTTGAGATAAAGTAAAGGGGTTAAACTATAGAAAGCCTTGTAATGGATTGTGAAAATGGGTATGAAGGTTTTCTCTTGGTGTACATGGTGTTTTTCTCTGTTATGACAAACCACAGAATACAAAAAAACAAAGAAGTAAATGAAGTAAAACAAAGATTTTTTTCAGTTCTGTTATCGTTAGTGGTGTTCTAACAGGTCCTTCTGATTTGAATTCTTTTATTACGAATGTCAAGCCCTGAGCCTCTACTCTAGAGCATACAAGATGGGTGTTGTTTGAACACATGAAGTAGTTGGCTTTGTTCACTGCCCAAAGGAGTGCTCAGTTAGACTTCCAAGATAGACCTATTCTATACTTTCAAGTGCTACACATTCCATGTCGACAAGTTACACAATTTCCTACCATCAAATTTCTAACATATTTTGAAATTGTGTACAATTCAGTATTATAACAATCAACATTGAATTTAAGATGGCTCTATCCAAGCACAAACATAGCATTTAGATTCCGCACTTCTAAGTGGAGCTCTCTGTAATACCATTGTATAATGCCTCAAGGCTATGAGATTGTGTATGCAACGTGAGTTGCAGAGTCCCAAGACAATTATTGTTGGCTTTATCTATTGCTAAGAGTTGTAACTCAGATAAATGCACAGAACACACAACCCACCCTTATATACTGCTCTAATGATTCTCATGTCCGATATTGGACAAAGGAAATCTAAAGTGAACTAGTCTTTTTCTACTTTTGCTTTTCCTAACCAGCAGTTGGGATGAGTGGCATTTTTTTTTCTTTTCAGAACGAAATAGTTTTCTTCAAAGAGAATGAGAAATGAAATCAGAAGGAAAGACTGATACAAGGATGTTCATCGGTTTTGTCAACCTTTTTCTGCTAAATCTGTAATTCTTAACTTATCAAAAGAATGAGAAGATTGTTCCAAAAAAAAAAAAGGAATGAGAAGAGTAACTATAAGAACACTGCACCATACTTTTCAGTGGTTAGGCATTTCTACACAAATATGGTTGTTCCATTAGGGTGAACGCCTGGGTTGCTGGTGTTGAGAGAGGAGGGGAGGAAGAACGTAAGTTTAGATATGGCTCAAAATCTCATTGGAACAAATAGTAGTGTTGCATTACATGACACAAGATTTTGACTTTCAATATGAAATGAGCTCATTTGAATATGGGTCTTCATTTTTTAATCTTTCCTTTCGGACTGTCAAGCGATTAAGAACCATCACCTGTATTGACACGCTTCATCTCCATAATATTGTGCCAAAAAACATCATTATGACCCTGAAATAGTGATCTAAAATAATTTTATTTTTGGTTAGGTTGAAGTGGAAATGTGGATTGCACTTTTTTTCCCCTTGTATTTTTGGTATTGAACTATCTAATTTTACTTAGGGAGTTGAATTCTGATTTGGTTGCTGAAGGCAGTGGCAATGGTTGGACGGATGGTATTAAGATGATGGTGGTAACGTGATATGCAGGGCCGTACCTGTATTTCGCGGGGTTTGAGGAGAATTTCAGAATTTATATATATATATATTACAATTAAATAACAATGTGAAAATATTTTAAACGGTCAGTTAAATACAACCCGTTTTGCAGTCTTAGAGATAAAAATATTAATCAATTTTGAATAGTCGAGTTGTTCAATTATTTCTTTTTCAATAAATAACATGATCAATTTATTCAATCTTTGCTGTGACAAAGTTGATCGGAAATAATCTTAATTAATTTCAAGTTGAAGAAACTTCTTTCTGCTGATGCAATTGTAATCAGTAAGGTATTTGACTTACTTATTTGACTTTTAGCTGCTTTTCTAAATATTACATTCTACAAGTACAAAATCAAACCAAGATTTTTGTTTCTATTTTACAATATGGTTATAAGATATCTGGGAAGGCAAATTGGTAAGAAAAAAAGTGTCCAAACAATCTATTAACAGAAAAGGAAAAAAATAAAATAAAAATAATCGATGATTAACAATGTTTCTAACTTAGTTATAGTGGGAGAAGATTTTCTTCCATTACATGTGTATAGTAAATACACTTTGCACTCATAATGAATTCAATTTCACATAAAATAGGAAATAAACTTCTTATATGCAAAAATGATTAAATTTTATACATTTTCTCACTTTGCACAGGGCTCACGACCTTTACAGAAAAAAATTGTTATTACAACAACAATAACGATATATTATCTAAAGTCATAAATATTTTTATAATGTAACAGTAAAATGGGAAAAAATAAATCTCACCATATTTAACGAAGTATTGCACCCAATTACCCCATGGATGGTACAAATTCACATTAATTAATAACGGATTACAGTCCGAGAAAAGAAATTCAATCCCACACACAAATCAATGATCCGATCACCAAGATATTGAAAAAATGTAATTGAATTTAAAGACAAAACTATACAGTAATCAATTTAATATATAAAATCTATCAATCAATACAATTAAAAAAAATTAGGGTTAATAAACGATCAAATCAACAAAGATGTGTCTAACGATGCATAAATATATACTAAGGGGGTGTTACACAATGAAATGAGTATTCCAAATCGAGACATTAATTCTATGCTTTATGATATCATTGTTGAAGAAGCATCATTATTTGGAGTAGCCGAATAAGGGTGAGCGAGTATTAACGACAATGAGTTTTTAAAATAAAAAAGGAAACAAATTTTTTTTTTGGTCCCTATAAAGAGCTGGGCATGAGGCGACAACCTCTAGGGCCTCTCCTCAAATCCAACTATGATGATATGTTATTCGAATGTAATATAATGTGTTACCATGTAAATTTTGATTATTAATGAAGATGGTAGTAGCGGTGTCAACGAGCCAAGCCGAGCTGAGTAGAAAAAAAGCCCGAGCTTACCTCGAGCTTTTTTGGGCCCAAGCTGAGTCCGGCCCGGCCAAAAAAATGAAGCTCGGCCCTAGCTTTCGGCTTGAGCCTTTGCGGGCCGAGCCGGCTTTGGTTTTTTTTTTTGGTGTCAAATTTAATTTTTTTTCCTTAAAAAATTTGAATTTTGTACAACTTATACATACAACTTAAAAGATTTTTTTTTACGTGTTACATGCAATAGCTATTGCCTGCGTGCAGTTGTAAGCAGGCAACTAACGGGCCGGGCCGGACTCTGGCCGACGCTTCCCCAAATGGAACCGAGCCTGAGCCCGAGCCGACGAGTTTTTTTGCCATCACTAGATGATAGGCTGCTTAGTTTAGAAGATGGTGTTAGTCGTGAAAGAGTAGCGGGGATGGTTAAGATAGGAGAAATCTAAGCTGATTGGTGGCGAAAATGAAATATTTTTAAACAATATAAAATGAGGCATTTTTAAGAAATACGGTTCCATCTTTCAAAAATCATATGATTAAATTATTTATTATATATTATTAAATTCAATTAATATACACATCACTAACCCACTCATTACCATATTTGAATTTTTAGAGACAGTCCTC